AGTCCAGTAACTCATGTACAAGTTCAGTAACTCATACAAGTCCAGTAACCATGTTTAACTCACGCTGTACCTACCGACTCTGTTAGTCTCCTATCCCCCTTACACCTGGGCATGTAGAAGGACTTGAGCTCTGCTGGGAACTTACACAAGAACATGGGCTCGTTGATGGTGTCTGTCATCTTTCTTTCTGGGGCTTCTGGGATGTCCTAGGTTAGTCGTGTTGTTAGTTAGTTTTGTGGGTAAGACACATTTTAATTTAGTGATGTTGAAATGTTAGTTTTGTGGGTAAGACATATTTTAATTTAGTGATGTTGAAATGTTAGTTTTGTGGGTAAGACACATCTTAATTTAGTGATGTTAAAATATTAGTTTTGTGGATAAGACACATTTTAAGTTAGTGATGTTGTTAGTTTTGTGGGTAAGACACATTTTAATTTAGTGATGTTGTTAGTTAGTTTTGTGGGTAAGACACATTTTAATTTAGTGATGTTGAAATGTTAGTTTTGTGGGTAAGACACATTTTAATTTAGTGATGTTGAAATGTTAGTTTTGTGGGTAAGACACATCTTAATTTAGTGATGTTGAAATGTTAGTTTTGTGGATAAGACACATTTTAAGTTAGTGATGTTGTTAGTTTTGTGGGTAAGACACATTTTAAGTTAGTGATGTTGTTAGTTAGTTTTGTGGGTAAGACACATTTTAAGTTTGTGATGTTGTTAGTTAGTTTTGTGGTAAGACACATTTTAAGTTTGTGATGTTGAGTGTTAGTTTTGTGGGTAAGACACATTTTAAGTTAGTGATGTTGTTAGTTAGTTTTGTGGGGAAGACACATTTTAAGTTAGTGATGTTGTTAGTTAGTTTTGTGGGTAAGACATATTTTAAGTTAGTGATGTTGTTAGTTAGTTTTGTGGGTAAGACACATTTTAAGTTAGTGATGTTGTTAGTTTTGTGGGTAAGACACATTTTAAGTTAGTGATGTTGTTAGTTTTGTGGGTAAGACACATTTTAAGTTAGTGATGTTGTTAGTTAGTTTTGTGGGTAATACATATTTTAAGTTAGTGATGTTGTTAGTTAGTTTTGTGGGGAAGACACATTTTAAGTTAGTGATGTTGTTAGTTAGTTTTGTGGGTAAGACATATTTTAAGTTAGTGATGTTGAGAGTTAGTTTTGTGGGTAAGACACATTTTAAGTTAGTGATGTTGAGAGTTAGTTTTGTGGGTAAGACATATTTTAAGTTAGTGATGTTGTTAGTTAGTTTTGTGGGTAAGACACATTTTAAGTTAGTGATGTTGTTAGTTTTGTGGGTAAGACACATTTTAAGTTAGTGATGTTGTTAGTTTTGTGGGTAAGACACATTTTAAGTTAGTGATGTTGTTAGTTAGTTTTGTGGGTAATACATATTTTAAGTTAGTGATGTTGTTAGTTAGTTTTGTGGGGAAGACACATTTTAAGTTAGTGATGTTGTTAGTTAGTTTTGTGGGTAAGACATATTTTAAGTTAGTGATGTTGAGAGTTAGTTTTGTGGGTAAGACACATTTTAAGTTAGTGATGTTGAGAGTTAGTTTTGTGGGTAAGACACATTTTAAGTTAGTGATGTTGAAAGTTAGTTTTGTGGGTAAGACACATTTTTGCAGTGTTTCAAACAAATTATGACTGCTATGCAGAAATTTTACCTTTCTGTTGAATAAATTTTAATTGTTTTAAAAAAATTTAGAATTTGCTTTTCAACAATTTATATTAATAGTTTTTGTCGTTCGAAAAATTCGACTTTACACCAAAGGTCCACACATATATTTGAACATGTACTAGGCTGGTTTGAAACGTTACCGACCTACCAATGAAACGTATATGTTTTTTCAGATTAATGTTTACTTCTCTACATAACCTCCGGTAAGATTTAAGCTCTTCTCACAACCAGTGGCGTAGCGTGGTAGGGTGTCACCCGGTGCGGCATTTAATGGTGTCACCCCCCCTAGAGGCGTAGCGACCTTTCTCGGGGACAAACTTTCAAACTTTCGATTTGCACCCCCCCCCCCACTCGAACTTTCGATAGTAGAGTGGGCAATAGGGTTTCTGTTGTTTTGCTAGGGGTGTTGAAATGTAAATGAGTCTGTATGTTATTTCCCTGGCTTTTAGTGTGATGGTTTTGATGTGTAGGTTCCTGGAGGTGTCTATTGTGTCTGTTAGAGCGTATTTCCTACACCATTGAATTCTGTTGTATAATAGGGTTGAGAGTTTTTACACTAACTTTTTGTAAATGTTTTGTGATTTTTCGTGTACAAGTTTTTCGTTGTTTTTGTTTTATATTTTTAAGCATTCTGTGTAAAAGGGACTATGTTTTCCTCCTATGTAATGTGGAGTTGTATTATTGATTTTTGTAAGTTTGTTGAGTTGAATGCCTATATAGTTGTGAACTAAAGGGTGAAAGGTGTGTTAGTCTGAATGTATAGATTTTGATCTGTATATCGTGCAGATTTATTCCTCCATTATTAGGTAGTGCAGCAGAGCTCACGACGTCTAACAAGCTAGTCTCGAGTTCGGATCCCTTTGTTACAAGATCCATTAATAGCCTGACTGACTGAAAACTTTAACACCGCATTTTATAAAACTTTTTTTTTTGCTTTTTATTTATTTATTTATTTTTATTTATTTATTTAAATTTCTAACCTTTTGTTTTTTCTATTTTTTGATGTTCGAAATTATGTACAGAAATTGATTATGATGTAAAGTTTTGCTTTTAAACCTGACCGTCTATGGTGCAAGTGAAGTAGAGTTCACTTGTTTCTGTGACCTTTCAACACTATGGTCAGCCGCCTTTACTTTCCCTAGTGCGTTTACTTTACGTGAGTTTGGTCTACTGACTTGAACCCGGATTCGAACTCGAGACTTTGGGGTTGGCAGTCCAGCTCTCTACCCTTATTTTTATTTGTTTTATTTTTTTATTTTTTTATGTTTTTTTTTAAAAAAAACTAAATTAAAGAAAACGACCAAACAATCTGAAAGAAACCCAGTCGAATATCGTATTATGTTTGTATACTCTCATGCCTACAAATTAAATAAAAGTAACATCTTATGTTTTTTATTTTAACTGGAGCTAAATGATAATTTTATACGTAAAAAAAGATAGATTAGAACAAATAAGTCGTAAGATACACAATTTATTTGTATTTAAGTAGCTGTAGTACACATCTTTTTTCTATTACTGATGTATTATATTTATTTTAATAACATTAGGAAATATGGTTTTAAGTTACTTCCCTTGGCTATTTTTTTTTTATGGGATGTAACTAGGGAAAATTCATGTCAAGTGTTTAACAAACTATTTCTCAAGATAACATTATTATGTTCTATCTACTGTATACCCTAAACTATCATTGCAAACTATAGAAAGAAAAGCAAATTAAATAAAGGTGAATGTGTTATGAAAATTATGCTAAGTTATTGTGCTAAGTTTGAGAGATCCTTTTCAGATGATTAATTTACCTACACATGGACGGTGTGGTTTAGTTGTAGAGCACGGGACTGTTAACACTAAAAGCTCGAGTTTCCTAGCCGCTCTCAACTACGTCACTAAGCATACATAATTCTAACGTGTTAGCTTAGTCCTGGCAAGCTAAAGTATCGACAGCTGAACATAGAACTGACGACATCTGAACATAGAACTGACGACAGCTGAACATAGAACTGACGACAGCTGAACATAGAACTGACGACAGCTGAACATAGAACTGACGACATCTGAACATAGAACTGACGACAGCTGAACATAGAACTGACGACAGCTGAACATAGAACTGACGACAGCTGAAGATATAACTGACGACAGCTGAACATAGAACTGACTACACTATTATTTTACCTGCCGAGGTCACAAAAAAGGTAAGCTCTTCTTCATCTGTCCCACTTTATGTATGGTCAGAAAAGATTTTGTTAAGGGGGCGGGGCATTCTAACCCATCTAACACCAACTCCCTACGTCACTGGATGGTGGGGGTGAACTTCCCACTGAGCACTTCCTTCTCCCTCCCCTTCCCCCCCCCCTCCTCTCCCCCACCCCAAACGAAATATAATAAAATATATAATTTATATGGAGAATTTCCACTTTAATCCGTGCCCCCCTCCCCCCTCCCAAAGAAATTTAAGTGTGCCCTCTGAAAGTTCCAAGTGCCCCCCTCCCTTCACTCTCTCCCTTTACCATGGAGAAAAATGTCAGAAAGAACCAATATGACGTACATCACCGAACTCGTAGAAGCTTCCATCCTCCTTAGTGACGTTGTGCTCCTTGAGCCAGACGATGGCGTCCTTGTACTCCATCCTCCTGAAAGGCTTCTTGGGCGGCTTGAAATCCTGGAAGTTTCAATTCCATTGGCAGTCGGATTATTTCAGTGTTCATTGGATTTTTAACAAATGCAGTTCAAAAGCGATTAAGTAGTTTCTTTATAGGATACAGAACAGTTAGTAAATATCAATTATAAAACTATAAGGGTCGGCGTAGTCGAGTTGGTAAAGCTCATGATTGCTAAACTGAAAAGTCTCGAGTTCGAACCCTTGGGCTGGGGACCTCCACTCTTTTAGGAGAGACAAGAGAATCACTTCCAACTGTTAAAGAATTATTATACAACTGCATTGAATATTAACAAGTAAATTCCACACAAAATATCAGCAATTAATTGCCTTAAAGAGCAACATTTTAAAAATACTAACGTCATTTTTAGCTTCCTTTATCAAAGATTTATTATGTTTTACACTTTCCTGCATTTTGGGAACATGGAGACTACTGTTTAGTTTAATACGTATTATTTTTAAAATTCTTTCTACTTTTATTGCAGCATAGAAAGTATAATTAGTAATTATTGGTTGATTATAATTTTAATTATTAGAAAAAAATAAGTTTTAAATATTGTTTTCGGCTTTAAGCTCTTATCAAATACAGTAAAGTGTTTCATTCTAACCCACACATAAGTTTTACACAGGTTTAGCTATACAAAGTGTAGCTCACACAGATTAGAATAGTTAAGCTCTGACATGAGCGTAAGACTTACAGGGTTGAGCTCATACACGATGTGGCCGTAGGGTGACCTCAGGACTCTGTCCACCACGTCACACACCAGGTCCTCGATCTTGTCCAGCAGAGTTTCAAAGGTTATGAATGGACATTCGGCCTCAACGTGGGTGTACCTGAAACGTGAGTGTACCTTAGATGTTATGAATGGACATTCGGCCTCAACGTGGGTGTACCTGAAACGTGAGTGTACCTTAGATGTTATGAATGGACATTCGGCCTCAACGTGGGTGTACCTGAAACGTGAGTGTACCTTAGATGTTATGAATGGACATTCGGCCTCAACGTGGGTGTACCTGAAACGTGAGTGTACCTTAGATGTTATGAATGGACATTCGGCCTCAACGTGGGTGTACCTGAAACGTGAGTGTACCTTAGATGTTATGAATGGACATTCGGCCTCAACGTGAGTGTACCTGAAACGTGAGTGTACCTTAGATGTTATGAATGGACATTCGGCCTCAACGTGGGTGTACCTGAAACGTGAGTGTACCTTAGATGTTATGAATGGACATTCGGCCTCAACGTGGGTGTACCTGAAACGTGAGTGTACCTTAGATGTTATGAATGGACATTCGGCCTCAACGTGGGTGTACCTAAGTTCAGAAAAATTACATTTTAACAATATGGCTGGTAAGTAGGTCACCAACCAGTTATATGGCGCATGCAGGTTTTATTGAGCCGTAGAACTGGTTGGTGACCTACTTACCAGCCCAATTATTACATTGACTGTTGACAAAACTTTGCGGTTACCGACGTTACAGCAGTGAGGTGTGATTAATGTAATGTAATTTTTAAAAATTATCTGTTGAAAAGAATGAATGAATATGTTTTCATTTATATAATCGTTCAAATAATTTTTAATAACAAGCTAAATGTTAGGTTTGAAAGTAAAGAGCTATCTATATTATTGTAACCTTGTGTCCCGCCCCCTCCCCCTGACTTACTCGGCGAGATGTCGTCTGGTCTTGGAGACCTCCGCCCTGTAGGACTGGGCCATGCTAAAGACGTCACCCATTGCAGGTATCACCGTCTCCAGGTACAGCTGGGAACTCTGGGTCAGGAACGCCTGGTGTACAGAAGTGGAGTCAGTATATTGTTTTCTACAATAGTGGAGTCAGTATATTGTTTTCTACAATAGTAGAGTCAGTGTTTTGTATTTTTACAATAGAAGAGTCAGTGTTTTGTATTTCTACAATAGTGGAGTCAGTAGGCCTATAATGTATTCCCACAATATTAGAGTCAGAATATAGTATTCCTACAATAGTAGAATCAGTATATTGTTTTCTACAATAGTAGAGTCAGTGTTTTGTATTTTTACAATAGAAGAGTCAGTGTTTTGTGTTTCTACAATAGTGGAGTCAGTAGGCATATAATGTATTCCAACAATATTAGAGTCAGAATATATTATTCCTACAATAGTAGAGTCAGTATATTGTATTTTGAAATTAGGAGAGTCAGTTAATTATATGTGTACAGTAATGGGGTCATTAGATTTTGTGTTGGTCTTTAAAACATATTTCGTATTGGCTTGATAAATGTAAATGATTGTTTTTAATTAAAATTTAAAACGGTATTTTGTTTAAACATTTTTTTTAGTTATACTTCATTGGCCTTTATTAAATAAATTCTGTTTTTTTGCATGTATAATGTTCACAGTTTGCGGTACAGCTTTTAAAATTTTCAGCAATAACAAGGCCGGAAAGAAACTGGGTTTTTTTTCGTATTTGTTATATCTAATCTCTACTTTATCTTTAATTTCTCCAACCTACTTTTCTTAAATGGCGCTTTTTTTAAAAATGTGTGTATTCAACAATGTTTGTGATTTTTTTAAAATGTGTGTATTCAACAATGTTTGTGATTTTTTAAGTTATGTATTAAACGTTTAAATCTGAATATCGTTTAATTTCACTAGATGTACATGTTTTCGCAAGGCCAGTCTGCTGTTTTTGGATGGGATGTGCAGGAACGAAACCAAAGCTCACCTGCTCGCCGAAATAGTTGAAGCCAAACAGGGTCGACCCTCCTTCTACCTGGGTCTGTACCAGGGTCGGTGGGGTCAGCTCAAAGTAACCCCTGTCAAAGAAGTGATCCCTGAAACATTGCGTAATGAAGGACCTCATCTTCAGAACCTTGGCCATCTGGTGAGCAAAATGTGTTGACATATAACATATTGGTAAGGTTTATTCGGGAGTCGCAATTTTAATGGTGACAGAGGTTACATAGCGTAAATAGCATACATCTTGCTAGAGCCATCTAAAACATGGGAATTAATTTAAATAAATAAAGACTGTCGTCTAAACTTCGCTTTTTAAATCGTTTTCAAGTCAAGAAATGTTTTTTTAAGAACTAAATGGGGGCGTAAATATTTAAAATATAAATCAATTTTAAGTTACTTATGGGAAAACAATAAACTTTTTAAAAATTAGCAAACATATATTAAGGCTAAAGGTTTTTAGAATCAAAGATTGCGCCACATAAAGGAATGGCATGTGCTGGTGAGAAATTATTTTTAGCAAGAAGAGGAATTCAAAGAAACATAACTAACGTTTTCTCCACGGATCAGCATGTGTCTCTGGTCCAGCTGGACGTCTGGTAGCGCTTCCTGTTACCATGGAGATACAAAACAGGTGAAATGTAAACATGTAGCCTATTTTAAGTGCAACCACATCATCGGGTGCTTGTGAGTTGTTTTTTCTGTATGGGTAAAAATATGTAATTTACACGAGTAAAAAAAGTGCTAAATACAACACATCTCATTGAGTACAAAACAAGTAATTAAAAAAGTCTAGTGACAATTTTAGCGCAATTTCCTTATGTTATCTAAAAATAGCTCTGTCGTAGCGTAGCGTAAATCAAGAGCAGGGTTAGTAAAACCATTGGTTAGTTATTAAAACGTTTTTATTAATTTTTATTTCAGTATTTTACATGTTTTATTTACAATAGAGTTACATGACTAAAAACCATTGCGCGCCTAGCTACCGAACGTGATGACGCAGCCATTGAACGTGATGGCGCAGCTATTGAACGTGATGACGCGTGTGGTGTGGTTGGAAAAAATGCCTACTAATTCGGTCCAAATTTTAATTAATTAAAAAAAAATGTTGTGACCGAACGAAAGGATATTTTTGAAAACTTTCTTCGGCAATATTGTTTTAAATTATGGCAGAAATCGATTGGTACATGTTTCAAGTCGCTAAGTGGTCTGGTTGCCGAGATATGGGCCAAAAACTGCTTTTTTTCGAGGTTTTTTGGCTTTTCCGGGAAATCCATGAAAGAAACCCGGAATTTTTATGGCCTATGTTCATTCTCGTAAATTGCTTAACATAATTGCTTTTGGAACTAGTCATCGATATTGCTTCGTTGAGGAGGAGATACGACTTAAAGCCCGGACACACATTCATCCATACATTCATTCATTCATTCATCCATTCATCCATCCATTCCCAGAAATGAAGAGTTAATAAACGCAATTCTCCAGAATGGAAATTGCGCTAAAAAATGGTGAAAACTATACCACACACCTCATTAAGCACCGTGTCCATACCCCCAGGTGGTGCTGAGCCAATCAGTTCCCAGAAGTCTACGGTCAGCTCATGCTGGTCAGGGGCCTGGAATCACACAAAATAAACAACAAACCTTTCAAACATGCATTGTTAAGATAGTAATGCGGTTTAATGAAATACAAGGGCGTGGTATTAAATACGACGATTCTCAAATAGAGTAAAGTTAGTTTATTATAACGACGGGGAGTTATAGATGATGATTTTAAGTTCGATATAATTATGTAGAGCTTCAGATAAAGATGGGGAGCTTGCTGGGGTGTTAAAAGATTCGGTGTAAGCTAAAGTGATGCCAAACTACTTACTGTCTTGCCCTCCGGCAGTTGTTTGATGACGCCATAGACGGCTATGGAAGCCTCTGTTGCTAAGGTCAAGGCCTCATAGGTCTGACACTGAAGAAAAAACATTCAAAACGTAGATAATGTTTATATTCAACGTTATGGTTGATGCTTTAGGTATTTTCATTAGGTTTTGTCATTGTCGCTACCTTATCCGTAACTTACCAGCAAGTGACGTCATTATCGTTACATTATCCGTAATTTACCATCGAGTGACGTCATTGTCGCTACATCATGGCCACATCAACCATTACTTACCAGCTTATCCACAAAGACTGCCTGAAGAAAGCCTGTCCCATCTCTCAGTACAACAAACATCAAACTTTTACCTACCAGTGGAAAATTAGACGATATTACATTTTTTAAAACTGAAAAGAATCGTCTAGAAAAAAAGAATCGCGCACCAAATGAACGTTAACAATCTGCGTATAATAGAACGGCAAATTAATGCTTTATAAAGAAACCATTGTTTAAAATTGAAAATGTGAATTAGTCATCTAATCATCTACTTCACCTAAATTTTATGTCACAATACATTGTCATCGAGTCCAGACCTAAGTGAAAAGTTTTGAAGAAATCGGTCCGGTAGAAGTAATAATTTTTTTCAGAAATCAGAAATAGCGAATAGTAATACTTTCGTTTACCGGAAATATGTGAATAATAATTACGTAACGTTTCTCTCGAAATAATCAATAGATGTCACAGTACCCAAACCATGGTTCAGAATCACAATTATCAGTCACACATGACGTCTGTTGATGACGTATGTACATGACATAAAACGTGACATTTGCCTATGTGGGTATGTAGTTGTCAGCCCATATCAAACATACGTGATTGCCGCATATTATGTACAAGAGAATCACCACTATACGTAAAACAGTACGTACCTGTGTCTGTGTCATTTGATTAAATTAAGTTTAACTTAACTTAACCCACCTGTATTCAGTTTTTACTCGAATTTGAAAACAATTCTAAGCACATATTGAATGAATATTAAATAAAAGTTTTACCAAATAGCTTCGTCATTGAATGAACCATAATAAAACAAATCTAAAAATGTATAGAAACCATTTATATAAAAAAAATATCGATGGTCTACAACACATGTGTTGGTTCAAGATTCAGCGAGTTTAATTTCTCAGGAAAATTATTTTTATTTAGATGGAACTTTGGTCTTCGAGACTTTCTTTGCCATTTGGTTAGTCAGCGTTGCGTGTTTTGATTTGACCTGCATGTCTCCCTCGTCACACCTGTATGTTCAGTCATGTGTGACCAACATATTCACATCACCACCACACTCCCATGCAGTTCAATGCCACACTCCCCCACCACCAGCCCCACCCCCAAACACACCTGATCCCATGTTTCCCTAAACAAGCTGTGTACCCAATCACTTGACCTTTACCATCCCGATCTACCCCAACCCGCACTTGTAGCCCCAGACTTGCTGATTCGCACGTAACCGTTTGAACACACGTTCTATGTAACCCTTAAATAGACAACCACACACACTCACACACATCTAGACAACCACACACATCTCATACCAGCCATATATCTAAAGCACATCCTTCGCCACATCACAACCCCCCTAGTCTCACTTTATTCCCCACTTTCACCTATCCCCCACCCTCACCTATCCACTACCCTCACCTATCCCCCACCCTCACCTATCCCCCACCCCCACCCTCACCTATCCACTATCCTCACCTATCCCCCACCCTCACCTATCCCCCACCCCCACCCTCACCTATCCCCCACCCTCACCTTTCCCCCACCCTCACCTATCCACTATCCTCACCTATCCCCCACCCTCACCTATCCCCCACCCTCACCTATCCACTACCCTCACCTATCCACTACCCTCACCTATCCCCCACCCTCACCTATCCCCCAACCTCACCTATCCCCCACCCTCACCTATCCCCCACCCTCACCTATCCACTACCCTCACCTATCCACTACCCTCACCTATCCCCCACCCTCACCTATCCCCCACCCTCACCTATCCCCCAACCTCACCTATCCACTACCCTCACCTATCCCCCACCCTCACCTATCCCCCACCCTCACCTATCCCCCACCCTCACCTATCCACTACCCTCACCTATCCACTACCCTCACCTATCCCCCACCCTCACCTATCCCCCACCCTCACCTATCCCCCAACCTCACCTATCCACTACCCTCACCTATCCCCCACCCTCACCTATCCCCCACCCTCACCTATCCTCCACCCTCACCTATCCCCCAACCTCACCTATCCACTACCCTCACCTATCCCCCACCCTCACCTATCCCCCACCCTCACCTATCCACTACCCTCACCTATCCACTACCCTCACCTATCCACTACCCTCACCTATCCCCCACCCTCACCTATCCCCCACCCTCACCTATCCACTACCCTCACCTATCCCCCACCCTCACCTATCCCCCACCCTCACCTATCCACTACCCTCACCTATCCCCCACCCTCACCTATCCCCCACCCCCACCCTCACCTATCCACTACCCTCACCTATCCACTACCCTCACCTATCCCCCACCCTCACCTATCCCCCACCCCCACCCTCACCTATCCACTACCCTCACCTATCCCCCACCCTCACCTATCCCCCACCCCCACCCTCACCTATCCACTACCCTCACCTATCCCCCACCCTCACCTATCCACTACCCTCACCTATCCCCCACCCTCACCTATCCACTACCCTCACCTATCCCCCACCCTCACCTATCCCCCACCCCCACCCTCACCTATCCACTACCCTCACCTATCCCCCACCCCCACCCTCACCTATCCCCCACCCCCACCCTCACCTATCCACTATCCTCACCTATCTCCCACCCTCACCTATCCCCCACCCCCACCCTCACCTTTCCCCCACCCTCACCTATCCACTACCCTCACCTATCCCCCACCCTCACCTATCCCCAACGTTTACTTACCCCCCACCCTCACCTACACCCACCTTCGCCCACCATCACCTACACCCACAAACCCCTCACCTCACCCACCTCCCCCCACACACCCCCAACTTTACTTATCCCCCACCCTCCCGTTCTGCCATCCCCACCTACTCCACACTGACGCCCCACCCCACCATCACTTACCCTGCCGCCTGAGACGATGGACCCAGCCAAATATTTTCACCCGCTGATCTCTAGTTTTTCTGGCATCTCGGATTTTGATCTGCAAGTTTACAAAAAAAATTTTCAACATTCAAACATTCGAAATTTCGCATAGTATTTAAGGTTTGAATTAATGTGATTTTATTTTTTCAGAAACAGCCTTGTAGCCTACGTGAAATCTGGTAACTCTATCGCTAACAATGATCACTGGTGTAAATCGCGTGTGTCATATGAAGTTTCACTTTAGAACTCAATTCGCCAAATAGCATTTACTCTAAACTTTGTTTCTATAAATAAAAACTAACATAATTGAAATGTTAACGATTGCACTTGTGGAGTGAATGCTGGGAAGAGGAGGGTGGCTGAAGCAGTAGCGTAGCGAGGGGGGGGGGGGGGCGGGGGGGGGGGACATATGCCCCCGTGCGCCAACCTTAGGGGGCGCCAAAATTGGGTTGGAAAAATAAATTGAAAGGTTGAGAGGGTGCAAATCGAAAGTTTGTGCAAATCGAAAGTTTGATGGGGCGGTGCAAATCGAAATCTTGAGGGGGGGGGGGGGTGCAAATCGAAAGTTTGAGGGGGGGAGGTGCAAATCGAAATCTTGAGGGGGGGGGGAGTGCAAATCGAAAAGTTTGTCCCCGGGCGCCGGGAAGGGTCGCTACGCCTCTGGGCTGAAGTTTGGCCAGTTATGGTTACCGCTAGTAACATTGTCGTAACAACTCACAAAATTCTTTCAATCATAGCTTATAAAACCAACCATGTGTAAATTTTACATCTTATTACTAAATAGGCCTATATTAGTATTGTATGTTAATATTGTTAATATGTTAATATTTTCAAATAGCAAAGATTAACACTTCCATAAAACCCAGCTAAACGCTGTGAATGTTACGATTTATTTCTTGACGGTGTATAAAGATTACAGTAAATCTCGATTGAACAAAATAGGCCAAAAAACTAAATTTTTATAGACACTTTTGTTTAAAACTCAGCCGACACGCAATGGCGTGTTATATGAAGAACTCTCAAATACAAAAGTTCAAATTTCAAAGCTTTTTTGTTCGTCTGCTTGAGACCGTTATTCACAGTTGATAGTATGTTACTTGCGGGATAGACCCTGATAATTTCCGAGAAATTTTAACTTGATATTCATGTCTAGATGTTTCAGTTCTGATGTTGATTTCTTTCAAAATATGGTTCAATATATCGTAATGTTTGTTATAATGTCCGTATATTTTGGTAAAGTATAGCTTTTGTTAGTCTTAAAGTAGTGCCCAATGTAATATTGTTGAATGTGTTGTAATAATGGCCAGGAATTTTTTAAAGTACACACATTTTTAAAACTAATCATAATTTATCAAAACCAGCTAAAATAGAGTGGATTTATATTTCTGCAAGTATTTTAGAAATACTATTTTTTTAACCTAGGTCAAGGAACACTAAATGCTGAGGTTTTACAATATATCTAGCAGTAACATCTTATACAGAAAAAAATATCAATGAAAAAATAAGGTATGAAATAATATTAAAAATGTAATTGAAAACAAAATAGATACAAAAAAACAATTTTAAAATAATTTATTAGAAAATGATGGATTTAAAAAAAAATTATACTATGAATTTAAGAAACGATACCATTTGTTATTGACTATATGACAATACAATCGAATTAAATGAAAAAAATCTACAAATCATAATGCAATCAATGTTAATCACCAGTTAAAGTTTACCATATTACCAGATCATTGGATTTAAGGTTTACTGTGGGTTTTATTTTTGTAGTATTTAAATGCGGAAATAAGGATAATATAATCCAGTACAATTCTGTTAAATTTATAAGAATTTTATCCACACAGAAAACATAATTAAAGAAGGTGATAAGTAGAAAACCTTATTCGGATAAACACAACAGCAACTAATTATTTTTTTAAAAATTATTTTTGCGTTGTTTTTAAAAAGTTTTTCTGTATTAGCCAAAAGCTAAGCATAATATTTTTAAAAGAAATAATTATAAGAAAGAATCATAGTAATTTTTTAAAAATTATTAATGTTACCTGTTTTGGCTTAGGCAAACTTGGATCGTCTTCAATTTTGATTTTTTGCGCTTCTTCAATGTTTTTCTCTCTTCTCTCGGCGTCCAATTTCTGAGAACGAAAAATGTAGTTGACACATGTTCAGGCTTAACGGGACATTATAGAAAATGTTATTAAAATAACGAGAAGTAAATAACTAATTTAGCTGAAATGTTTTATTTTGAAAAGAAAATGTAAAATTACTAAATAAAAAAGTGCATTTGTGATAATATATTTAAACTAAAATTATAAGATTGTATACTCCAAAGAAAATCATGATAATTTTAATATGGTAGATGTTTTGATTTTTAATTTTAGCACATAATTTGTTATTAAGCGCCGTTTTCGCGATTTATTTTAATGAAAACATTCGTGCAAGCTTAATTGTACAATTTAACACAAACGTGTGTTACTGTTGAATAGAAAAATGAACTGTTTTTTAATGTTGAAATATTTGTATCTACTTTAAATGTTATTGCTAAAAAGTAGCTGCTGACTATACCAGTTTGTTCTTGACGTCAGTACTGCAGATATCAGTTGAGTAGCTATCTATAAACAAAATATTCACATGAAAATTAGTCAATGCCTGAAAAAGTTGTATAAATACTGTTCCAATAGGTAAATTTGTTATTTTTAACTCACGGGAAATTTCAAAGTATTTTAAGGCGTTAATTAAATAACATTATACATCTTGATGCATGTGAAACCAAATCTAAATATTACTGCAAGGTGAAAAAAAAATTATATTGTTACCCATCATGTAGTACAGTCGCAGTGAATTCCTATCTTAGCAAATATAAAAACCTGAAAAAAAGGTGAAAATTTCTATAGAGAAAAAGGCAAGATATTTAGAAATAAAAATAAATTTACATGTAAAAACTTCGAAAATTTTGTAAACTCCTAAAAGTTTACACAAAATTGTGACATTTCTTTAAATATGTTTTTAAACAAAAAACCGGTGAAGTGTATTTATGTTTTCTTAAAAATCACCTTACGGTATTTTTGTCTTTCACGTATTAATAAGCAATAACGCATTGGTTATTAATGTATTCAATGTTAAAACTAAACATTTAAGTCTAAAGCTAACAATTTCCAGGAAAAAAAAATTAATTCAATTTTGTTTACCAATGTTTAATGATATAGGCCTATGCCTTAGATATTGTTTACATATTCAGTATATTTTACTGGAATTGTGTTAATGATACATGCCTTAGATATTTTATTGAAAGCTAGATAAAAAATCACTATTATTGTTAGTAATTTTTATTATTAGTAATTTGGAGTGAGGAGAGGATTGTATTAAACATTTACTTGAACATAATAGGTGAAAAGTTTGCTTGCACGAGACGGAAGAAAAAATAAATACTTACATCTGTGACTACGAGAGGGTGTAAAGACTGACGTGTATTTACTTTATATAAATCTTACATGGACATGTCCTGTCATGATGTTTAGGGATCTGAATCATGTGACTTGAATCACATGACCCAACTGGTTAGAGGACTAGGACAACCAATAAATATTTACCCGGTGCCTAGCGACGACCCCTGGAGAGATTTCTGCGGAATAATCTTCATGAATAGCAAAAAGCGCGAACAAAGTCTGACATTCAAGGAAAAGCGAACTAGTTTGAATAAATAGAATTACATTTGTAAGCTTTCTCGTGAAATATAACTGCTTCAAATGATTTCTCGTTTCAAAACGTATTTAAAGTCAATACATTTCAGTTTTAAATCATGTATAGACGCAACACATTGCCAAGTCCCAAGTCCCAAGAACTACAGCTTGAATGTATTAGTCCACTAATTATCCGTGCTGCCAGAGAATCATGTACGTAACATAAACAACGGTTCCACAATTACTTATCTAATAATCTAGACGGTAATCTGAGAATGTTGAAAAAATTTTTTTTTAAAAACATAAATAACATAGAAATGTGGAGTTTTATCAACGTCCCTGATACTCGCTATCAATGGCGAAGGCAGGGGGGGTTAAGGGGGGTCATAACCCCCTTCCCATAGACCTCTCGGTATATATATATAAAAAGTTTGAGGGTGGGTGCAAATCGAAAGTTTGAGGGGGGGGGGGGGTGCAAATCGAAAGTTTGAGGAGGGTGCTAATCGAAAGTTTGAGGGGGGGGGGTGCAAATCGAAAGTTTGTCCCCGGGTAAAAATTGGAACCCCCCCCCCCTTGAGACGATCCTGGCTACGCCACTGCTCGCTATTATTTATGTAAACTCATGTCAACAGATTGACTTGCTACATGTGAAACTGAATGTTTCGAGAACTGCAGAAACGACACCGAAGGTCAAAATAAACTCATCATTTCATTAAAGTGTGTTCTAAATGTGTAGGTTAGAATAGTAATTAAACCCGTACCAAACTTAACACAATATTTAAATGTCATTCATTACCAAAGTATAAAAAATATAATATTCAGTAATGGACACCAGCGAGAAAAGTCTCAAAGGTATTTGAGAGGTGTATAAATTAATTTAAAAATCATGCACAGCTTAGTTACAATTAATATGGTTATAAAATCCTGCCTGTCTGGTTTTTTTCGGACTTTACTAAAGATTGGATGTATTTGATGTTTATAATATTTTCGGTAACTAAATAAAAATTTAAAAAAAAGCAAAAACAATTTGGTTTTCACGTGTAAGGGCGACATAAACAATGGCCCCCATAAATTTTATTGTACACATTGTAAGCTAAAAATAGAAAACTAGGTTATGGGGTTTTTAATTTGCATTGTTATTTAAAAACTTGATCTGCAAAGTTTTGTAAACAAATAGTTATCGATCACTAAGTTACTGTACAGCCAATCAATATTTGTCTTACGAAAGTGAAACATCCGGTTATAACTAAGCTTGATGAAAATAAATAGAAATGTAGCCTTAAACTCAACAAATTATTTTCAAGTTCTCTGGATTTGCAACTTTTATAGCATTTATTCTAAAAATATAAAATTTCTAAATTAATTTTAGGCTTAAGTTTTTATTTTTTATTTTTTTTTACGGTCTAAATCTAAAAAGCACGTTTTTATTCCATGTCAACAACATTATGGAAGGAATCTCGTCAACTCGCTCGCCTCCATTAGAAACGAATTTTAAAAATGTCATGTTTTTAAAGTACAGAATAAACCGGGAGTGATCTCACGTAAACTTATATTCTTATATAACACTACGGGGTATAGCAACTCGGGACATAGACTTTATCGTTAATTTATTTTTTATTACTTTAACTTTTTAAATAGAACGAGCCGGCCCGCGGCATAACATACGCAGCTATTTAGTTGTTGTTTTTTCTACTTTTCAGTAATTCATAATTTGTGAATTCGACGGTACCAACGCTGCCACTGAAAATATTTCTTTAAAACACTATAAGTAGCACGTTAAGGACTATAGCCCCCCCCCCCCTCTTCAGTCCCCCCCCCCCCTACATTTAAAATAGTTTCAAATTAAATTATCTGCCCCTAATAGTCGTCACTAAACCCGGCTCTGCTTGTAATCATTCAGAGTGAACACAGCTCACTAAGACCATGTAGGGGTGGGGGGTGGTAGGGAGCGCGTTTACAGCTTGTTTTCTAGAGTCTCCCAAAAGAGAATTAAATATAGATAGATAGATTCTTTCTACTTTTCAGTAATTTATAATTTGTGAATTCGACAGTACCAATGCTGCCACTGAAAATATTTGCTTAAAAACACTAAACCCCCCTCCCCCCCCCCCCCCACGTGAAAGCAGCCTCCTCTTAGTTACCTCCTCTAAGTTTAAAAGCGTTTCAAACTAAATTATCTGCCCCTAATAGCCGTCACTAAACCCGTCTATGATTGTAAAATGTAAACAGCGTGAACCACAACTCACCAGACCATGTGAGGGGGTGGGGGGTGGTAGCGATAGAGAGGAAGAGAGGGGACTGTAAGGCGCGCTTGCAGCTTGTTTTCTAACGGCTCCCAGAAGAGAATTATATATATAGATCAGAAGAGAATTATATATATATAGATAGATAGAATCGCGTAGAAAAAAGAATTGGGCACCATGTGAACGCCAAACAAAATGTGTATAATAGTGCGCAATATTATTAGTACTTTTAAAATTCACATGCCTTTTTTGAGAAATCGGAAATAGCGTAAATTACTACTTCCGGTCAATTGAAATTACTCAAAATTTCAAAGAAGGCAGAGAATTAGATCTTTTACTTTTACGTATGTTTAAAATTTCATTTTTCTATCTGAAATATAACTCAAGTTATAGGCTTTTGAAAAATTCAAAGTAGAAAAAGTTCCTCTTCCGGTTATCTGAAATCGCTGAAAAGTTGATACGGATCTACAAATTTGATATAATACTTATGTATGAAATTTCATCAACCTAGTTATAACGGTACTCAAGTTATCGTGTTTACAGACACACACACATACATACACACACACACACGCGCGCGCACGCACGCATACACACACACAGACATACGGACAAGATTGCAAAACTATGTTTTTCCTACTCAGGGAGGTGTAAAACGTCGAGATTTGCAAAAATCTCTTTTTTTTGCAATACTTTCTCTATACTTCGTATTTACGAGAAAGTAAAAATGAAACTAGCTCTGAATGCAACAAATAATGACATGAAATAACTCGTCTGTGTGAAAGCTGGAACTTGTCTCTGGCAACACGCCAAACCGACAACGACACGACACAACGACACGTCAGAATAAAAGAAAAAACGCTCTTGAATTTACTTTATTTCCCAGGAAAATCTGATCAGTTTTTTTTTTAATATTTACAACATAGCAGGGGGTTAAAATCTTATGTCTAAGTTTGCTGAATAATAAATAATCTGCTGAGATAACATTTCTTCTTAAGAATTTATTGAGGTCAAGGTTTTTTTCAAAGCTGACTCAAGATTTTATAAGTTAGCGGGACGACCTCTGCGTTACCCCGAAGGTTATAAGTCTGATATATCTAAATACGTGCACAATCTGTTTTTACAGCTAAAACAGTTCAAAGAATCACAATATATACTCATTATTAGATTGTAAAATTTAAATTGGATCTTTAGGTACACTAAAAATTGCATTCTTCTTTAGAAGTGAATGCACATGTATGCCTTGTATAAGTGTGCATCTGAACAGGCACATAATCTACCCCTACACCCACACATCCCATCTACCTCTACACCCACACATAAATATAGCTACTCCCTACAGTTACGACTACGTCTACACCTACACTTACGGCTACATCTACACCTACACTTACCTATTACTACACTTAGATGAACGGCCACACCTACATGTAGATACAGTATTATAGAAACTAGTGTTAAAAAAGGGTCATTAAAATCAAGCTTTGCTTTACTATAAATCCATTGCTACAGTAGTTGAGAAGACTTGGTGAACTATGTAACTGTTATGTTCGCTAGACATATTCTTCCTGCCCAGCTCACCACAACTCTACTGCATCTAGGAGATATTGTGTAATTTTCTATGAAAATGAAACCTAAACAGAAACGACCTCTAGTTTGTTGCGGACCATAACACTATATTGTTGACGGTATATTGAACATTTTTTTTTTCAAGAAATATAATGCTCTTTATAAAAACATTGACACGTTTATAGCTAAGTTTTCCGGTGATTGATTATGGTATGCCTTATAAGGTCATCTCAGTGAGGGGTTCAACTGGTTGTGTCTTTTTGTCGTTGTGACGCAATTTCCTGCTAAATCTCGCTTGACATTTTCACACGACTTCTCGTAAACTTTAGCATGTACGATCACGATTTGGGGAACCGGGTAATGCTATTTCCTGCAGAGTAGGCAGAATGAATATATGAGGCCAGTTTCACACTAAACATCCAAATTAATTATTTAACCTGTTCTGGTCGATTAATCTATAAATATTGACATGCCATTGGTTGCCTAGCGATAAGCTAACTCGTATTTTTGTATAAATGTAACCGCCTACCTCTTACTTTCACTCTAGTTTCGAAACGTCGACTAAAGTTATACTCTCTTCGGTAAGTACTATTTAAAACGTATTTTATTTAAAGCTTTATTTTTCTTCTGAAATTGGTTGACTTAAAGAAATGTACTTTGTTGTTGATGACTTTATAACACGTTTATTACCTTGAATAAATCGTATCAATTCTTCCTTTTATGGCATAATGTATGTATGATGCTACCTTTAGCGTATCCTTAAATTATTAATGAAAGGTTATTTGGGTACCATCCTACTAAGATTGACACTTATTGAACAAACTTTCGATCATATGCATTATTTTAAATGCAATATGAAAAATTGAAATAGCTGCATTTATCATTCAAAATATAATGTATGTGAAATATTTGATATTTAAAAAATACTATTCTTGTCTTTTATATCTATTTTGAAATGTCAAAAAAAAGATAAAATCCCTCTTGCTGATCATAAAAATACATTTTAACTATAGAAATTGTATTTACTTTTTCTGCTATCCAATTTTCCCCCATTACTCTCAGTCGTTAGCCATCTTTCCAATTCTGTAACTTTTACTGTTAGAAATTATTTTACATTTAACATTGCGTTCTTGATATTATTTAATTTTTCAGAACTGCCCGGATAAGCCCAATTTAAAAATATGGAAAGTAATGAAACTGTTGAGGAATCAAGTAAAAATATAAAAATTCTAGCAATAAATTCTGGGGGTACTATCGGAATGATTAAAGTGGGTACAGAGCTCGTTCCACCAGAAAGGGGACACTTTTATAGGGCTCTGAGAGATAAACTCGGCTATTCGAATTTCGGTACTTGGCCAAATTCAAACTCGTTTCATTTAACTCACGAGGACAAAACAGAAAACATTACTAAAATAATAAGGATTGATTTAGAGGAAACTGACAACCTTCTAGACTCGGCAGATATGAGTTATGATCAATGGTCGGAAATTGCCCAAATAATTAAAGACAAATACGATGATTATGATGGCTTCGTGGTCATCCACGGCACGGACACGATGGTCTACGGTGCCAGTGCTCTGTCCTTCATGTTCGAGAACTTATCCAAACCTATCGTCTTCACCGGAGCACAGATTCCCATGTACGATGCCAGAAGTGACGGCTGGAACAACCTTATCTCGTCTTTTATCGTCGCTAGCGCACAGGACAATCTGCCAGTCGTAAGCATCTGCTTCAACAGCAAAGTATACATGGGGAACCGATGCATCAAACAAGACTCCGATGGTTTCGATGCCTACACCTCAGGTGATGCTCCCCTGGTGACGCTGGGTACGAGAATAACATTCAGAAGACTCGATACGACTACTGGCACGCTAGCTGTTCGATGTCAAATGGAAAAAAACGTCAAGCAAATTTCAGTTTATCCAGAGATGCAAGCCAGAGATATCACTTCCCTGTGGGATAAAGCTCATAAGTACAAGGGAGCCGTCCTGGTTTCATACGGAGCTGGAAACATACCTGATGACATGGTCAAATTTGTCCAGCAAGCTTGTGAAAAGGAGATTTTGATTGTCAATGTGACACAATGCCATAAAGGTGGTGTGGCCACTGATTATAGATCAGGAAACAAATTGATGGCGGCGGGCGTGGTCTTTGGTGGGGACATGACCCCAGCCGCAGCTTTAATGAAACTTAGCTACATCTTAGGGAGGTACGCAGGGTTATCCATAGTGGAGAAGAAACGAAAGTTCAGTGTAATTTTATGTAATGAGTCTGAAGCCCAAATAAGGTAGGCCTATACGTAATAGAGAGATAAAAAAAGTATTTTAAAATACGTGGATAACATAAGTATTGTAAATACTTTTCAGATTTTACACACAATTAACCCTCCTTGTCTCGAACAAAACCCTTTAACCCAATCAGTAGCAATGCAAAAAAAAACAAAGAATCCTTGCTAACTCTCCATCTTGGAAGATATCAAAACTTAGCTCTTGTTTTAATTGTATAGAATTTCTTTTAGTCTGGTTTCATGCAATTTTTGCAAGGTCGCGTATTGTGTCTGTTTATTTAAACTTGTATGCTGAATTGTATTTTTTTTCTAGATTTGTAATTAGATTATTATTAAGATGTAATTATAGTACTCACATGCTTTCCTATGTTTATTTTAATACCCAAATAAAAAAAAATCACTTGTTACTCTTTCGCTTGTACATTTTACTTTTGATTTACACACTAGATAATAAAAGATTATTTATTTCACTCTGCATTGTTAGATTTGTCCTTTAAATTAGACGTGATTTTAAAATATTTTTTATAGATAATGTAGAGAAATTATATTCAAGAAAATATGTATTTATATTATGTTTCCCTTTTATTTTAGATGTTTTCTTACAATAAACATAATGTACGCAATGTGGGTTGTTTTTTTTTCAGTATTTATAGCATGAAATATATACAACTTGTGGTCGGTCCTATTGTTGCATTAGATTGTGTTTCACTTTCATATCTTTTCAAACAAATGTAGGAATTTAAGTTAAAAGGATCAATTGAAACATTTTTACTTTCTCGTATATACGTAGTAGCCTATAGAGAAAGTATTGTAATCGTGCAAAAAAAAAAAATCGAGATTTTTACAAATCTCGACGTTTTACACCTCACTGATACGGAAAAAAATAATTTTGCAATCTTGTCCGTATGTCTGTGTGTGTGTGTGTGTGTCTGTCTGTGTGTCCGTGTGTAAACACGATAACTTGAGTACCGTTACTGCTAGGTTGATGAAATTTCATATATAGGTATTTTATCAAAATCGTAGATCCGTATCAACTTTTGAGCGATTTCCGATAACCGGAAGTGGTACTTTTTCTACTTTGAATTTTTCAAAAGCCTATAACTTGAGTACTATTTCAGATAGATAAATGAAATTTCACATGTAAGTAAAAGATCTAATTCTCTACCTTCTGTTAAATTTTGAGTAATTTCCGTTTACCGGAAGTAGTAATTTACGCTACTTCCGATTTCTCAAAAAACTAATGTAAATTTTAAAAGTACTAATAATATTGCGCACTATTATGCGCTTTTTTATTTCGCGTTCACTTGGTGTGCAATTAATTTGTCTAAGAGATTTTATTCTATTTTTAAAACTTTAAGTATTAAATATGGATTAAAAATCATGTCTATAGCCCGAGTTCCCATCCCCTGTTATTTTATATAAAAATATTCGAGAAAGTTTAGGGGAGATCACTCCCGGTTTATTTTTATTTTGATCAATTCAGAATTTTAAAAATTTGAGAATAAAGTTGATAGCTAAAGAACAATACTACTTTTATATGCAAACATTGCATAAAGTGTCACATTTTATTGTTATTTGATCCCAAGTTCCGTTAGCATCTTAAATTGTTCATAAATACGTTTTATATTTAGGATAAAACTATGTTCGGTGTATTTGCCGTTTAGATTGATGATAACAACTTTAAAATAGTTCAGAAAATGTATTATCGGAACTTGCAAAAAACAAAATTTCTTTTTGTAAAAAATAAGTAAAGAAATTGTTTTTAAAAATCTGGAACTCTCATGTACGAAAATCATTTATTAGTTGGACTCTACGTTAAGGTTAAGTTCATTTTCTAGCTAAAACACAGAGAAGAGGGTTGTTCCCAAACTGTTAGATATATATATATATATATATATATATATATATATATATATATATATATATATATATATATATATATATATATATATATATATATATATATATAAATTGTCATTTTTCTGATGTTGAAATGCAGGAGAAAACAGAACTTGACTCACCCAGAGAATGAAGTGAAGCCTCTTTAACATTGTCGAAGTCAGTTGTTTCAGAGGGGAATTAAAAGGGAAAACTTGTTTTCAACATTTAACTGAGTTATTTTTCTTTCTTAATACATGAGATTTTTATTTTCCTAAATAAACAGTTAATGTTCGATAAATTGACGAAATAAACCAAGTAAGTATAATACTGGTGAGGGTGATTTCACATTTTCCGTTGCTAAAAGCAAAGATTCCCTTTTTATTTTCTCGATTATACTAAGTATAGAGAAACTCTTGTAATCGTGCAAAAAAAAAATCGAGATTTTTACAAATCTCGACATTTTACACCTCACTGATACGGAAAAACATAATTTTGCAATCTTGTCCGTATGTCTGTGTGTCTGTGTGTGTGTGTGTGTCTGTGTCTGTCTGTGTGTAAACACGATTACTTGAGTATCGTTACAGCTAGGTTGATGAAATTTCATATATAAGTATTATATTAAAATCGTAGATCCGTATCAACTTTTGAGCGATTTCCGATAACCGAAAGTGGTACTTTTTCTACTTTGAATTTTTCAAAAGCCTATAACTTGAGTACTAATTCAGATAGATAAATGAAATTGCACATGTGAGTAAAAGATCTATTTCTCTACCTTCTATCAAATTTTAAGTGATTCCCGTTGACCGGAAGTACTAATTTACGCTATTTCCGATTTCTCAAAAAACGCATGTAAATTTATAAAGTACTAATAATATTGCGCACTATTACGCACATTTGGTTTTGGTGCTCGCTTGTTGCGCATTTTTTTTTCAACTAGATTTTATTCTATTTTTACAAGCTTTTATTTAACTCACTTCCTCTGTCGTCAGTCGTCAGTCGTCAGTCTAGACGGAAACGCAGGAATGAAAATTCGGACAGTTCTACTTGACCGACACGATTCACAGTTGGCACGTGGGTCAAGACATGAAGACAATGCAATCTGAATCTAAATTTGACTTAATTGGATGCCTAATTAATTTTTTATGAATTAATTAAAATTGGGACCGAATTAGTAGGCATGTCTAGCCAACCACACCACACGCGTCATCACCTTCAATAGCTGCGCCATCACGTAATGGCTGCGTTCAAAAACCATTGCGCGCCTACTGAACGTGATGTTCAGTAGGCCCGCAATGGTTTTTAGTCATGTAACTCTATTGTAAATAAAACATGTAACGTACTGAAAAAAAAATTCATAAAAATCGTTTTAATAACAAGCTTTTATGTAATGATGCACTAAAAAGTAGAAAATAAATTATAGACTACTATTTAAATAACTATAAAGAAAAGCGTGGGTGTCTTCCTTAACATTAGTAAAGGTATCCAATAGATACTAAAGTGACCCACGCTTTTCTTTATAGTTATTTAAATAGTAGTCTATAATTTATTTTCTACTTTTTAGTGCATCATTACATAAAAGCTTGTTATTAAAACGTTTTTTATGAATTTTTTTTACAAGCTTTTATTTAACTCACTTCCTCTGTCTGTCGACAGTCTGTCGTCAGTCTAGATAGAAACGTAGGAGTGAAAATTCGGACAGTTCTACTTGACCGATACGATTCACAGTTGGCACGTGGGTCAAGACATGAAGACAATGCAATATGAAACTAAATTTGACTTAATTGGATGCCTAATTAATTTTTTATGAATTAATTAAAATTTGGACCGAATTAGTAGGCATGTCTAGCCAACCACACCACACGCGTCATCACCTTCAACGTGATGTTCAGTAGGCGCGCAATGGTTTTTAGTCATGTAACTCTATTGTAAATAAAACATGTAAAGTACTGAAAAAAAAATTCATAAAAAACGTTTTAATAACAAGCTTTTATGTAATGATGCACTAAAAAGTAGAAAATAAATTATAGACTACTATTTAAATAACTATAAAGAAAAGCGTGGGTGTCTTCCTTAACATTAGTAAAGGTATCCAATAGATACTAAAGTGACCCACGCTTTTCTTTATAGTTATTTAAATAGTAGTCTATAATTTATTTTCTACTTTTTAGTGCATCATTACATAAAAGCTTGTTATTAAAACGTTTTTTATGATTTTTTTTTTTAAAAGTTTAAGTAAACCAAAATCATGTCTATATTCCGAGTTGACATCCCACGTAGTGTTATATTAGAATATTCGAGAAAGTTTAGGGGAGATCACTCCCGGTTTATTAGACTTAGCGATCTATTGAAGTAAAGTGTTCATGTTTCTTGACCTTGGCATAAGAAGGGATAGTGTGGTCAGCTCAATGCCCGGCCGCCTTTACTTTCCCAAGAGTAAGTCGACCACCCATTAGAGCTGACAGGACTCAATGACGTCCTACATTCAAACGTTCGAACTGAGAACCGAACCCGGGACTTTCGTGCTAGCAGCCAAACCCTCTACAATTCGACCATGCCGTGTCTTCATTGTGTGTGTCGTAGATCTTGACGTTTTATACCTCCATGAGTCGGAAAAAACTTTGTATTGCAATCTCGCCTGTCTATAAGTCTGAATGCAAACAAGATAACTTGAGTACCGTTTAACTTAGGTTGACTAAATAACAATTATAAGTATTTTATCAAATTTGTAGTAGTTTTCTATCAACTTCATATCGTATTTATTTTACCGGAATAAGCACTTCATCCTAATTTCGTAGTAACAAGATAATCTGAGCTCTGTTATAGTTAGGTAGACGAAACGTCTTATAAAAGTATAAGATCTTATACTTGGATTACGAACAGTTTAGACTACGAACACCACAGGTTAGGACCACTCTAGACTAGGACCAACTTAGACCATTTTCATGTTACGTTCATAACCCGTATACATTTTTAAACCTCAACCATCGAAAAAATTGTTTTTCTTTTTAGATGCATGATAAAACGTGTGCTGTGGTCTAGCTCTGGAGTTGACTTATTTTCAGCAATCTATGATACAACTAGCCGTCGGTACTATTCACACGTAAAATATAGGCCTATATATTTTAAATGTTATAGACCTGTGGTCAAAACGCAATGTGTTTTACTATGCGTTAAATGATATTAGTGACAAAGTAAAGAAATAACTAAATAGCTAAAAATCCAACACGGCTACCAATACCTGCTACAAAAATTAAAACCAAATTATATACATTAGTCAACACAACACCATATTAAATGCACACACCAGATTAAGAGACTTGATTTCGTTAAAAACACGGCTGTTCAATGGGATTTATGTAGTTTTTTAAAGTAATTTGTATCAGTTTTAGCCGAGAAAATTGTATACATTTCAAAGCGTACGTCTTGCTAAATTAAATTTGAATGAAATAGTTCATTTTTTAAAATATAATTTAGTTTATACATTTAATACATCCAACATACTATTTTCAACAAAAGTGCTCCATATATTGCTGAAGATACTGATCTCACAGCCTTAAAAATATTTAGCGGACCAAGCAAGACCAAGTAAGTGAGAAAGAGAGAGAGAGGGAGGGGGGAGAGAGAGGGACGAGAGAGAGAGAAGTGCACACATGGGCTTTTATATAATTGGACTAGCCGTCGGTACCCGTTACACGTGAATTATAGGCCTGTATATTTTCATGTTAGACTTGTTT